TGCAGGCGGCGTGAGCGGGGCGGGAAGGTGTCACCGCTGTCCCCCGCCTGCCCGCGCGGCCTGGTGGGCGCCGGTGAGGTTTGCCCTGGCCCTCCCTCTCGCGCTTTTCTGAGGGATCTTGTGAGGCGCAAGTAAGTGGGTAATTTTAAACTGCCGTTAGGTCTCGTTGATACCCAACTGTAAAGGTGTTTGCGCCTCCGAACCGCCCTGCATTAGGAACAGGCTAGTTTGGAAACTCATGAGGGACCCAGTGGGAAGGCAGCTGGTGAATTGTAAGAAGGGAATACGTTTCAGGTGCGACAGTCTTTATTCTTGTCTGGACCTTCTGTTTAGTAATGCAAGGAAGATGACGGGATGTCGTTGCGGGGGCACTAACAAAAAACCCGTTTGCACTGATAAAACAACTGACTGAGTCCCCTTTGCCGAAGATGGTATGCAAAAACCAGTGTTGCAAAGCTGATTAAAAACCAACAACTTTGAATCGAATTTTGTACTCAAACACATATGCAAGATACATATAAAAGCCTGGCTGATGCACCTGCTAGCGTGCTCAGCTTTAAATACTTGCCTCAAGCAGCTCAGATTTGCCCCAGCTCCTCCAGCCTGCGTAGCAGCTTTGTTTGCACCTTGCTTTCAGAACACAAACTCAAGATCAGCATTTGACACTTAAGCAGGAATGCCACTGTTTATTTTCAAATACAGGGGTTACAGGTCTTTTGTTTAATCCAGGCAAAATTGTAATTTTCAGTTCCCATGTTGAATTTATTCACGTCGGCAGAAGTCCTGCTTTGTGAGTTCACTTAGGTAAAACGTTTACTTTGTTGTAGTTGACTGTTACTATGAGTGTGATGTGTTTCTAACCTCCCTTTATTTCTGAGGTGACACCAAGTTAACTGATTCATTAAAGCGGTGTTGAATCTTACAGCAACCTCTAACAAAACGTTTCATGGTGAATTTGTTCAATTTGTTTTGAAAAGCCTTCAGTGACAGGAACTGCATGATCTGTTGATGTAATTCCATTACATGATGATTTTTATAGTTCACTGAGTTTTTTCCCTAATATATTCTGTGGTGCACATGATGCCAGTGATTACTTGTTCTATCCTCGGTGGGTATAAAGATATTCCATTTTTGTCTTTTACGTGCAGAAGAACTTGAAGATTATAACTTTGCCCTTTCCTCTTTTCACATTTTTCTATACTAAACAAATTTTGTTCTCTTAGTATTTTCCTACTGATCATGTGTTTTTAAAGTTTAGATTTTTTTTCCACTCTATCTGCAGTTTTCTCTAAATGTGGTGTTTAATCCGTACGTTGTTTGCCAGCAGCTGTGTGTTTCACTGCTGCTGAACAGAGCAAAATACTTGTTTCTTGTGTCTTAGATCTTCATAGTGCCAAGTTTGTCATCCTTTTTCTTCCACTGTACCTCATTGCACTCTCACTCTTACTCTCTAACTGCAACCCACTGTAACTTTCAGATTTTTTTCCTGTGTTTTTGTTGTCTGGCTAGTTTTTCCCCTTGTATTTGAATTTGTTTTCTTGATCATCATTGTAGTACTTTACGTCTGTCTCTATAGAATTTTCAGATCATCATTCTGAGTTCTGCTTTTGTTTGCTAAACTGCTTGCAATCTTTCCCACCTTAGTTATCAGCCCACATTCTGAAAGTGTGCTTCCTCAGTTTCATTGTCAGTGTAATAAGGAAAATATGAAATAAAGCTAGGTGCATGGCAGATCATTGTGGAACTCCATTTGACTCCCAGTTTGCAAGAGAAGTATTCCTAATTACTTCTTTGTATAGTAGTCATAACTGCTCTTCAGTGTAGGCCATAATTCCCTACTCAGCTTGTCCCACTCTCAGGTGACTTAGATTAAAAGCCCAATCAAAGCCAAGTTTGTCACATCTGTGGCTTCTCCCTTGCTCACTGTGTCAGGAAAAGATTTGTTCTTGACAAATTCACATTATCTGCTTTTTATTATCATATTGTCGTCTTAGATGCTCAATGACTGACTGCTTAATAACTTGTTCCAGTATCTTCCCTATCTATCTAAAGACAGCAGTTAGGTTGACTGGCTCTCTTGCGCTTCTCCAGTGTCCTGGGACCTCTCTCTTAATTTTCTCTGGCCTTTCAAGTGTTACAGAGTCCTGCTTGTTTCTTTTATACTTACAAAGCCACCAATTTTCCCACTCATGTACCCTTCCTGCTGCCAAGTTTCCTAAAATACAGTAAGAATAATTTGGTAGCTGGAAGACGATGGGAAAATAGATGTTTTGGGAACATGTGCTGCCCAATTAGGTATGGACACAGCATCCTGGGAAAGGGATAAGTTATATGACTGTTGGACACCATGACTTTACACACTTGATCCATCTCAAACATTTTCAAAACATCTTTTCTCAGGAACAATGAATCAAAAAATAAAAGACTCCTTCTGGTGGATTCAAATATTGACCTACAAGCTGGATTTTAGCCTCAGGAACCTAATTATATTCTGAAAGTAATGAGTTTTCTGCTAGAAAGCTTGGCCAACCTTTAGTAGTGTGCTGCTTCCAGTAAGTCGTATAGATTGCATTAGTTTTAACATATATATCTACTCAGAAAAAACCTGTTACAAGTCATATCATGGCCACAGAAAGAAAAATGTAATAACTTTTAGTGGAATCAGTTTGGAGTGTATTTGTGTTAGAGCCTATACTTCAGTCGTATTGAAGCAGTGCACTGGAAGTAATTGTGTGCATTGTAAAACTGGGCACATAACTGTGGTGGAAGCTAAGGTAAGGGGAGAAATGTTCTGAAATATCCTGCAGTTATTTGTCTTTCTATGACAGCACTTTGGCTTGAAGGTCTGCTAATCATTGGAAAACAGTTTTTATTGTCATCAGATGACAGTATTTCAAATCCGCTTTAATGCATTCTCGCGTCTTGATTGTACATGTGTGACACATGGCTGTTGTGGACAGCGAGCAGTAAGTTCCCAAGGAGAAACTTGCTTATCTCCATCTGAGATGCACTGTCTCACTTGGCTGCTGGAATGCATTATTCTTTAATGGTGCCTTTCAGGTAATCACATGCAGAGACGTATCAGACCATCATCTTAACAACATTAGTCTCTTTTTATTAATGAGTTTGGTGCACTCTGACACTTGAAAGTGTTCCAGATACAGAAATACAGCATTTGCCAGAGAACAATGGCCTCTGTACGCAAGCAGCGTATCACACAGATACAGAGCCTTGTTGCACTTGGAGAGGCTGTACATAGGTGCAGTTGGATGATTTTCTTTCCCTCCACTCTTTAAAACAATTATTCTTACCCCTGCGCATCTGACAACTGCAGCCTACATTACAAAGACTCTTTGAACAACAGGATAGACAAATATTATTTCCGTCTTGCCCATAAAGAAATTGAGGCACATAAAAGCCAGGTGACTTGTCTAATAAGATGCCATCTCGCTTTGATTTTGTGGATGTAGAAGCACATGGTTAGTGGAATTTGAGTGTCCAACTACCTTAGATCTTTTTGCAAAGTTGGGGGAAAATATATATGAAGTAGACTCTCCTGGGGTAGGTTGCCAGAGCTTGCAGTCTTGTAATTTTGACCACAATCTTGAATGTATCCGGAGATGAGCAGTTCAGCTCACTTCAACAGAAAATTTTACAACTTGTATATGTTTATTGTTGTTGTTATTATCATCAGTTCATTGGTAAAACCCCCAGCTTAGAGAATATCAACATGGAAATCCTCAGTTTAGACAGGGAAGAAAATGAGTAATTTTTTAAAATGCTTTGATTCATCAGTGGAAAAGACTTCATGTTTTGGAAAATGGATCTTAGAAAATAGGAAGTGAATCAGCCATTTCTAGAACTTGACAACAGTGAGTCCTGGGTTCCTCATGGTCCAGCATATCATGGTGTGATCAAATTTTCAGCTGAAGACTATAAAGGCAATAGAGCTCATGGGACAGCTGTGGAATATACCTTGGTTTACAGGAGTTTCATTTGGGAACCAGTAATCTCAACCATACTGGATTAGCTGGTAAAATGGGATAACTTTGGTGAAGAGCTGTCGTTCAGAGCTGATCATATAAACCGACAAAACTCTTCCCTGCTAATAGACTTCCCTGAACAAGTGCACATTTATAAAATAATTTTTCTTTTAATAATTTTCAAATTATGTAGTTTTTGTTGCAAAATAGTTGCAGTTAAAAAAAAAAAGGCAATTTAACCTTCCAGGAAAAGATGCAAAATCTCCCCAAAAGACACTTTCCTAATGCTTGAGAAGATTTGCTTCTTTGGTCTTAAAACAAGACTCAGTTTCACTAGAGTGCCAGCTGGTGATTACATTGATTTTTTTCTTTTTT